AGCCTAAGCCTAAGCCTATCAAAATAAATATTCAGTCAACAAAGCTCATCTTAAAGCTAAAGGTATTCATTTTATTGCCTAAATACTTTCATTATAGTTGAATAATTGACTAGAAGAAAGAAAGCTTAAAAACACAAATAAAGTCAATTCTATAAAACTTTAACTTACAAAAACGTTACCGTAAATACTGTAATAACCCCAACCCCATAATGACGGTGCGGAGTGTTCCGTAGTCTAGCTTTGAACGTGTTTTTCTCGACATTGGTTTATGTTACAATGCGCGCTTCGGTATCAAAAAATAGCTGAAATTCAGCTATTTTTTTGATATCAAAGACGCATTTTTTGAAAGTACAGGCGCTTTGAAAAAAATAAAATACTAAAAAACTTTTGCGACTACGCGACTGTACGAGGGGGGTGGGGTACTATTACAGTATTTATGGTAGATATAAAACATTTAAGATTCTTTAAGTTATATGATAACTTTTAAATAACAATTTGTTCAAAATTTTGTTAACTTTTTAAGCCATTCTCTCTAGATCCATGAAATAAAGTAAAGAAGAAAGAGAGGGGATTGAACCCTACCTTTTCCCTTTTAAAGCAGATACTCTAACCAATGAGCAATCCAATATCTTCTTGCTAGAGAAGAAAGATGAAATACAAGAGGGATGAGAAAGAAAGAAAGAAAGAAAGAAAGAAAGAAAGAAAGAAAGAAAGAAAGAAAAGAAAGAAAAGGAAGTTAAGTTCAAATTTCTCTAATCTTTCGGAAAAAAGAACCAAGTCATCAACTTAACTCAGCTTCTCTTCAGAAAAATTGGTTTTTAAAGCTGTGACTCTCCCAGATATTTTTGAGAAAGTATTCGGCGTTCACTTCAAAATTCAAATCTGATCCCTTTGCGGGCAAAACTTTGAGAGTTCACGTGTTGGAGAATTATTTAGCATGATGAAGAAGCGAAAAATGATGTTAAGCTTAAGAATTAATAGCTATAAAAACAATTACACTCACATTGCTCATCAGAAATTCTTTGTTGTAAATGTTAAGCTGATTTAAACTCGCGCTTTAAGCTTTGCTAGTTCTCTTCAATCTTTGAGAAGAAAGTGCACTAGAGAGGTTGCGTTTGTGAGATCACAGATTCTCACATCAAGTTCCTAAGGACTTAGAATTGAATTGAAAATGGAATCTAGCTTTATTCTTTTAAAGCTTAGTTCTGAAATGGTTTCTCAGAGTCTTTCACTGAAAAAAAACTGAGATTTAACTACAGCAGGCAATAATAAATACTTTTAAATTTTATTTATTCTAATTATCCGGTGAAATCGAACGCCATCATCCCCAACAATCATTAATATTTCAAGAATGAATTAATTCTAGAAAAAAAACTGTGAGAACTTCCGGCTTTAAGTCCACAAATCGTATATTTTCATTTAAGAAGTTCTCCTTTTAAAGAATCAATTCAAATTGAATTTTAAAAAGGTCAATCCGGAGAATTTTGTTCTAAAGATTTGATTGAACTTCTGAATGACATTTTCTCTTTGCATAAAAAGATTGGGAAGACCAATTGAGACATTTTTTTGTTGTTTCAAAGAAAGATTTTGAATTTTTATATTTGACTATACGATTGTTGATTGATGAGAGAAAATAAGAGAGATTGGCAATTGGGAAGATCAATTGAGAAATTGAGAAATTGAGACATCGAAATGTTGAAAGCTAGGCTTTATAAACGTCATTGAAAAAAGCTGATCAAAATAGAAAAGATTGTAGAAGTAGCTCATCAAGAATCTTTTTAAATCTACTAATTTATTAGTCTACCAGATCTACCAGACAACTGTGCTAAGCATTAGACCATAATGCACTTAATCTCCCTTACTCCAGAGGAACATAAGTGTTCAACTAACTTTTGAATACAAGGGTTATACGATTGTTGATTGATCTGAATGACATTTTCTCTTTGCATAAAAAGATTGAGCTCACTTTTTCTTGTTGTTTCAAAGAGAGATTTTGAATTTTTATATTTGACTATACGATTGTTGATTGATGAGAGAAAATAAGAGAGATTGGCAATTGAAAATTGAAGGGAAGACCAATTGAGACATCGAAATGTTGAAAGCTAGGTTTTGTAAACGTTTTGAAGCTAGGTTTTGAAAAAAGCTGATCAAAATAGAAAAGATTGTAAGAGTAGCTCATCAAGAATTCACAAATGTTGCCATTTAAGCAAAAAAAATCTGAAGTTCAAATGTTTCTAAACTCTGAACTCTATTTATAGAGGCCACCAGTAAGAAATGGTACAAGAAAAAGTGTTTTGACAAGAAATTCTTTTGCTTTTGTTGTTGAGAGTGTAGATTGGTAATTGGGAAAACCAATTGAGGGAAATGTTGAAAGCTAGGTTTTGTAAACGTTTTGAAGCTAGGTTTTGAAAAAAGGTGATCGAAATAGAAAAGATTGTAGGAGTAGCTCATCAAGAATCTTTTTAAATCTACTAATTTATTAGTCTATTTTAGAAGATTCACTGATTTACTGAAGCCTGATCTACTGGAAATTTTAAAATTTTGAAACAACATTTGTAAAAAGAGCTTTTATTCAGTAAAGATTTGTTGAAAATTAGCTTTTTCCATAGCATTGCAGGTAGCTGATATTTCTGTTAGACTTCTATGAAAACATTTCCTTTCTAGAGCACTAAACTCTTCAAGTTTTCCAGAAAAAATTCAATTGTCCAATTGAAACTAGAGCAGATCAAAGATCAAAATAGAGCAGATCAAAAACTCATGCGCTGGACTCGAGCCCGCGACTTTCCTCTCACCAGACAACTGTGCTAACCATTACACCACAATGGACTTGATCTCTCTTACTCCAGAGGGAGTTAAGTGTCCAGCCTTTTTGAATACAAGGGTTATTTCTGCATTAGTCTAACAGCTAACAAGGGTTATTTCTGTATTAGCAGTATAGCAACCAAAACTTCAATAATTGGGATTGAATTCAAATTGGGGATTTGCAGAACTGCAAATACTGCAAAACGCAAGAACTTGATTCTATTTGCAGAAGAAATTTATAAATCTGAGGTGAATCTCGTGTGTTGATGCTTGTTCCCAATCGAGACACTTCCATTGAATTCGTTTTTTTCGTTTTTTTGGACACTCGTTGTTCTCGAATTCCTCGTTTCTTTTGAATGGCTCCATTCAACCCTTTCCTCCGAAATCGTTTTTTTTTGAATCAAAAGCACCTTTTTAGAAATAGGAATTTCAAAAATTACACACAAAAAAACTTGGCTTCGTCATTCAATGAGTTATTTAGTTGATTTTAGGTTTGCTTTAGGGGAAAATGGCATTGTTTTAAATGATTTATGAAAATGGATTTAGAAAATGACATCAAAATATTGAAATTTATGAAAAGAGGGGTTTTTTTTATTATAAAAATCAAAAGGAATGAGTTAAAAAAGAAAATTTTCGAATAGATTTAAACAATTTATTCTTAGCAAATTAGTTTTGATTTAAATCAAAGTAACTAAGCTGAATATTTGAAGTTCTTCTTGAATATTGTCCAATAACTGAATATTCTTCTTTAAATTAATTTAAGATTAGAGTGTTTTCAACAAATGGCTTTTTAAGCCATTGCCAGCAAATGGCTTTGTTTCCATGTTTAAGGGTAGGCAAAAATTTTTTTGCCTAACTCATCATAACTTCCTTCTAAGTGGATCAATCTTTATGGTTTTGGTTCTATTTTGTAGATCTCAATAAGTGCAACAAAATGACACCAAAAACATCAAGATTGGCCCACTTAGAGAAAAGTTATGGCAAGTTGCGCAAAAAAAAATGAGGAAATTAGTCTACCCTAAAAAAGACCCAGAATGATACCATTTTAACAATATATAACTATATTCGGGGAAGAAAAGCTATTTAGGCAAGAGTAAAATCGTGTGGGATTTATACTTTTCCTGGGATTTATACTTTATATTTAACTGGGTCATTTGCGCAACTGGGTCGTTTGCGAAACTTGCCATAACTTCCTTCTAAGTCGATCAACCTTTATGATTTTGATTTCATTTTGTAGATCTCAACAAGTGCAACAAAATGACACCAAAATCATAAAGATTGGCCGACTTAGAAAAAAGTTATGGCAAGTTTCGCAAATGACCTAGTTACGCAAAAAAAATTGCGAAAATTAGCCTCAATTTTTCTATCATTAACTTGTAATTCTTCATTAAATTATAAAATTGAAATGATTAAATGAAAATTGGTGATTAGATTACGATAGTTTTTAAAATAGATGTCTTTTAGAAAAAAGGAAACAAAAACAAACTTACAGATATCATCTTACATCCTTAATATTGGGTTGATGGAAAAGTCCTTTACGATTTTTATGGGAGATTACCTTAAATTTGTCCAATTTTGACGTTTTATAGCTCATCCTAAAGCTGAATTCAAGACGGATCGATTGGACAAATTTAAGGTACTCTCCCAAAAAATCGGAAAGGACTTTTCCATCAACCATTATATTCATATAGTCACCAATATATTCATCTCCAAAAGATCCTCCACGAAAAGTTTACAGTCTAAGCTAGCTCTAAGCTAGCTCTAAGCTAAAACTTTTCAATCGTTGTTAAAGTTTTTCTAATATCTGTCAAAGTTATGCATTACTTTGTTTACCAATTCTCCGATCTGTTTTCCGATCAACTTCTCTCTTATTTCATTTCACTTTCTTCCACCCACAAGTATTTGTCACTAAACTTGAAACTCAATGAAGCGAAAATCCGTTTTTCACAAATTTTTAGAACTTTTTCATATCCGGTTTTTTTTTCAAAAGCTAAGATTTACAAATTTTGCCATTTAACGAAAAGAATTCTTAAGTTCAAATGTTTCTAAACACTGAAATGACGTGTCTCTTTGATCCTCTTTGATTCAGAAAACAAAACGACTATTTATAGAGGCCACCAGTAAGAAATGATACAAGGAGAAGTGTGTTTTGACAAGAAATTCTTTTGTTTTTGTTGTTGAGAGTGTAGAGAGAGCTATTTCCGACCAAAACGCATCGTTCCAAGGGGATCTCTTTTGCCGAAACGCATTGTGTCTGAATTGAGAAACGGATTATTTGCATACCCAAGTTTAGAAGTCGTTTTGAAATCTTTAGAGTTCAGAGATAAGTTTTTTTAAGCATCAAGGCTTTAGAATAGTTTAGTAAGTAGCTATATAGCTTTAGTAAATAGAAAATAAAACAATCTACAATCTACAAACTTAAAAACCTTATCTCTGAACTTTAGTGAGTTGAATTCCTAGTGTTGAAACAAACTTTAGCTAGGTATTGGGATTTGAATGATCAATTTGAAAGTTTATTCTATTAATTCGTAATCTATATAGCTTTAGTAAGCACCTTTTCAAAATTCAAACATTATTTGAACATTTCTGACTAAAAGATCTTACTTCTGCATGCGAGCATCGGTCGCCACGAGAGATTTTTCATGACACACCAACCTACATACATTTTTTATTTAGTTTTAAGTTTTAATTTAGTTTTAAAGGACATAAATTGATTTGGAATTGATTTGGAATTGATTTGGATGATTTGGAATTGATTTCTAGTTAAGTTTTGTTTTAAACTCAAAATTTTCATTTACAGTACTGGACAATGAAATAAGATATTTGAAAAACGATCATCGTCACTTTCGCGCGTCTGTAACTCCCTTGTCTTTGAATTTAAACTATTAGTGTTATACATTTTCTGAAAGCTCTTTTCAAGGGCTACACAATGGTAATATTAATATTTTGAAATACGGTAAAGACAAGGGAGTTACAGACGCGCGAAAGTGACGATCGTTTTTCAAATATGATATTTCATTGTCCAGTAGTGTATGTATAAGAACATAGAGAAAATTTGCGTCAAAGTTGACCTTCTAAGGTAATTGATTGATCAATTACCACAACAACATTACTTTACATTACTTTTATTTTACTTTCATTTCATTTTTCTGAGGTTGAGTCACTTTATAAGCTGGTCTATAACTGGAGGTATAGGAATTGAATCCACTTGTAATTGCTCTTAAAAGAATCCTCATTAAATTTGGTTGTAGAAAAGTAGACTTGGTTTTGTATACTTACAGTACTGAACAATGAAATATGATATTTGAAAAACGATCGTCACTTTCGCGCGTCTGTAACTCCCTTGTCTTTGAATTTAAACTATTAGTGTTATACATTTTCTGAAAGCTCTTTTCAACGGCGACACAATGGTAATATTAATATTTAGAAATACGGTAAAGACAAGAGAGTTACAGACGCGTGAAAGTGATGATCGTTTTTCAAATATGATATTTCATTGTCCAGCAGTTTATAAACACTGAATGGATCTCACTAAATGGATTTTGTTGTCGCTTGCCGAATCGCATCGTGTGCAAAGGATCGCCTCGTTTCCCGAAGCGCATTGTGCCTAAATTTGAATACGATAAAAACTCTAATAGAACGACGACAATAGGAGCGTCGTGTAGTCTAAGTTTACTCTTAAACAAACACTCAAATCTTGACACTAGTACGTTTGTTTCTGTGCGCTTAAGGATCAAATTAAACGTTGAAAAGATGAGTGATTTTTTTTGGGATATAACAAATACTTTTAGAAACACTTAGAAACTTAGAAACACTTAGAAAAAAATGATGAAAAATCGGCTTTCTTTTGTCACTTAGGTTTTCATTTTTGAATGATTACTATTAGAATAAAACTTTAGCTAGTATTACTATTAAACAATGTTACTATTACTATTATTAAATCGATTTTCAATTTTGCAAGAGAAGTAACAAGTTTCTTTGGAGGCAAATGCTTTCCTTTGTCTAATGAGAAGCTTTACAATGTTAATCTAGGGTATTTTTAAAATAACTAGGCTAAAACTTACTTGTTTTAGCCTAGCTATTTTACGCTAGCCAAGCCTGCTTAAACGTTTGAATGATAAACAATGTTACTATTACTATTATTACATCGATTTTCAATTTTGCAAGAGAAGTAACAAGTTTCTGTAGAGGCAAGTGCTTTCCTTTGTCTAATGAGAAGTTTTACAATGTTAATCTAGGGTATTTTTAAAATAACTAGGCTAAAACTACTAGATTCTCTGGTTTGAATGATTGAAAAATGATGAAAAATCGGCTTTCTTTTGTCACTTAGTTCTCATTTTTGAATGATTCGATATTATTAGATTAAACCTTAGCTAGTATTACTATTATTACATCGATTTTCAATTTTGCAAGAGAAGTAACAAGTTTCTTTGGAGGCAAATGCTTTCCTTTGTCTAATGATATGATGAAAAATTGGCTTTTGTGGTATTTGGTAAAGCAAAGATTGGACAAAAATTGTTAGAGATCATGTCAAGGCTTTATTTTGTTAAGCTGAGTCAAGGCTGAGTCCAGAATTGAATCTCATTTCTATTATTATAGATTTAAAGTGTTTCAAAGAACTCAAAAACTCATCAACTGGTTTTTCATATAAAATCTTTAATATATTTGATATAAACTTTAAATCTTAGTGCTTGTAGATAGATTATTGAGACAAAACTTGTTAGAGAGCTTGTCAAGGCTTTATTTGAGTACAGAATTGAATCTACAAGCTTGATTTGAGTACAGAATTCAATCCAAGGTTTTGGTCCAGAATTGTCACAGCTTTTGGTCAGAATTGAATCTACAAGGTTTATTTGAGTACAGAATTGAATCTATAAGCTTGATTGCTATTATTTTCAGTGTTACAGTTTCATTAAAGCTTCTCCTTTCGATCAAAAACAAAAGCTTCTATCATTTTATTCTTAAAATCCCCACCAAGTGCTTTACCTTTATCTCCACCACTTCTCTTCCCAAATCGCATCGTTCCCAATGGAGATCGAGCTTCTCTCAGCAAACCATCGAAGATATTAAATGACTTTAAAAAAAAAAGAATAATTATTTCTAAAAACCACTCACCAATTTATCATCAAGAAAATCATCATCAGCGCTCTCTGTAATTCCGTAAATTTACTTGAAAAATCAAATATTTTTACCTAAAATAGCTCTCTTTCCAAATCTCATCGTCCCAAGTGGAGTCCTCTTGTCCTCATCGGCATCGGAAGATTCCAAATTTTCGGGAACTAAAGGAAAAAAATTATAGAAAACCAAGAAGACATAGTCTTTATTTAAATCAAAGTACTTTACTTAATAAATTTATAGACTTTTTAGTGAATAAGTGAGTTTAAAACTAGGTAATACTTTAAGGTAGGCCTTAAAGTAGGTACTATCTCAACTTAGGTAGGCCTTAAAGTAGGTACTATCCCGACTTAGGTAGGCCTTAAAGTAGGTACTATCCCAACTTAGGTAGGCCTTAAGGTAGGTACTATCCTAACTTAGATAGGCCTTAAGGTAGGTACTATCCCAACTTAGGTAGGCCAAAGCTAAGCCAAAACCTAGCCAGATCAGCCAGTTAGTCATCAAGTTCAATTAGTTTTTTTAATAAAATTATCAAGTGCTTAAAATACGTGACTCACTTGGTTCCAGTTGAGCCAAAGTTACCGTACATAAAACGGCTAAAAGGGCCAAATAGTAAGCGGGAATCATTACTAGGTACGGAATCGAATAAAGTACAGTAGTTGACCCTCCAAAAAGTGGAGGTGGAGTTCCCGATAATGTGAAAACTCTCCATTTTCACTCAACTTTATACGCCCGGCTATGCTCTGTTGAACATTATTTTCCCCTTCTTTTCGGAAATCTCTCGAAATTTTAGGGTCCGAAGTGAGCAAAAGCATTCATTGACGAGATTGAGTTCTTTTCTTGAAAAGATTTGAAATGTGTGGGTGCTCGGGAAAAGCTTAATTCAACCACAAATACATGGGTGAAGTCATTGGGAGTTGTACTTTGATTTTCGGAATAACACTTCTAGATTTTAGTAGTCTGAGTTTGAAGTTTGAAATTCTATTTTGGAAACAAGCGACTCAAGTGAAAGTTTCTAATTTCTTTTGCTTTTGCTGCAGGAAATGTTGACATGTTTCTCTAGACGCGCGAAAGTGAAAGATCTTTTTTCAAATATGATATTTCATTGTCCAGTAGTGTACCTACCTGGAAGAGTCGATCAACTGGCCCAATGTGGGTAGTACGTGGGTAGTACGTGGGTAGTACGTGGGTAGTACGTGGGTAGTACGTGGGTAGTACGTGGGTAGTACGCTGGCGCAGCGAATTTTTCCTCTTGTGTTCAATTTCGATCCTCGAATTATCTCATACCTTTCGTTTAAACCATTCCCTTTTAAGCTTCAGTTAATGTGCGTTTGTCATATCGTCTAAGTATGTTCTTGACACTCTCTAATGAATTGAGCTAGTTGATTTGAAGAACAAAAAAAGATATAGCTCCTAGCAATGAGCTAAGGACAAACCTTTGCTTTATTAAGGACAGCTTTTGTCAGATGTGAGCTGTGTTTTGTCTAATAATTTATCTCAATTTGCTTTTTTTTCACTGAAAACTGAGAAACAACCAACATTTATTATAGTTATGTATACAGCTTATACAGATATCACACGGAGTGTCAAAAAAAAACTATTACTTAGCGACTAGAAGAGAGAGACAGCTGATGGTGAAGAGAGATCTATGAGGAAGCAGAATAGAGATAAAGGGTCAAGTAGAAGATTGTTCAAAGTGATAATAGAAAATAGAAGCTTTAGATGTAAGTTAGAGTTAGAGTTGGCTTAAATAGTCCTCGATTTCGTCTATGCCGGCGGCTCGTTTCCCGAAACGGATCGGTTCTCGTGGGGATCGCTTTCCGAATCTGATTGGCTCTCCACGAAATCTAGATTTTGTCTTTACAATGGGTTTTAGATTGTCTATGGATTACTACGGATTACTGTAATTCATAATGATAAACCAAAAGCTTGTCGTAATCTTAGTATTCATCAAAAGTTACCGTAATCCTAATACTAGTTAAAAAACTGTCGTAATCGATTGTACTTGAGAATTCTTAGTTAAAGTTATTCGTTAAAAAGTTACCTTAATTCTAGTACTAGTTTAAAAAGC